CTGAGCGAGAGAATGGGAATGATGCCCATGCATTAATAAGATAATAAACATCCTGCTCTTTACATTTTCCTCAGTCATGTATCTCCCAGGTACCAACACATATAGACAGAACAGATTATATATGACATTTTCATTCTGTTCATCAAATACAAAAAACAGTGGAACAGACAGCCTGCAAGAACACTGAGTATGCAACAAGCCTTCTCCACCTTGCCTCACCCCGCTGCTGCTTCCAAGGTGAATTGTGAAGGGAAACTCAAAATTAAAGCCTTTTCCTCCCTGCATGTAACTTTCATGTCAGCCCTCAGCAGAAAACCCAGCTGAATTTACCTCACTACCACAGCCAGAAGCTCTGCGAGAGCCCTGCATGTGTTAGGCATTCTCCACAGTGCACCATCCAGCCCCTGCACAGAAGCATCACGCGAGTCTTCACCACAAAAGTTCAGCAGTCTGCAAACACTGCTAAGGTGGCTAAAGGAGTCCCCTTGGGAGAAAGCCCACCGTACTGTCAAGATACGTATGCCCCTACTCAGCCAGAGGCCTTTTACTGTTTCAGTGGCGCCACACTATCCACCAGAAGTATCCTCAACATAAACGCACTGAAGATTTTAGTAAATCGGATTTTGTATGTGCCAGTTTGTATTCACCAAACAAGGTTGACCTGGCAGCCTAAGCACAATGCAAAAATAACAGGGATGAAAACTCTCGCAGGTTTACAGTGAGCACTACCTCTCATTAAAAATGCTTTTAGAAGGCAACCTTGAATACTCCAGAACTGGAATCTGTCAGTGTATCACTCCCCCTCTTAACCAGCACTCAGTAAGTGGTGACTCTCCCACTCCTCTGCAGCAAAGAGCTGTGCAAAGAGGAGCAGCACTAGCCTAAGGGAGTCCACCAGCTGCAGCCTGCGTGTTCTTAAAGGTCTGCTGAAGCAGCACTAAGCAAGCAACACATTACATAGGTCAGGGAGAGCAACAGTTTTTTGATCTTCCCTTCGTGCAACAGTTGGGAAAATGCATGTTTTGGCTCCGCACCAATTCTCACTTTTATCCTATCTGAACTTCAGAATTCTAGGAAAGGACACAGTAATGATTCCCTTTTTAATTTCCCTTTTCAGTGGGTGGAAGGACATTGCACCAGTCCCAATGAATTTATCAAGCATCTCATCTGCTATAGCTGTGTTTTTCTGAGAGCTCCTCAGTCAGATGTTATGCAAAAATCATGCCAGCAACAAAGTTTGAAAAAAAGTGAATCATAAAATCTAAAAGGCCAATAAAAAGAACCTCACATTTTAAACAACACTTAGGATTTTCAAGCCCATGATTACATGCCACGAGTTCAAAATATCTGGAGGGGTTTGCCTTACGATTCTTGAACATTTAGGCTGGAGACACTGGCAGTGCTGGACAGATCTCTCTAAGCAGAAGTAATATAAGCCAGACTGGTCATGTCTTAAGAGAAATTTCTATGACTCCAACAGCACTACTTTAAATTTCAAAGCCTTCTTTCGTAACAGAGTTTAGCAACTTACTAAACAGAAACTGATCTCATTAAGGGACAGGTGATGTGTTCCAGTGATCAAAGCCTAGATTCAACAGCAGGAGCTCATGAGTCGTGTCAACTGTTGCCATTCTAACTGCTCCTCAGATGCCTTCCGAAGCTATACATCCCTGTGCGCTTGTACCCAGATCAGCCTGCAGCTCTGAAGTAGAAGTCCAGCTGAAAGATGATTGTCAGTGTGCCATTAAAACATTTAGAGACAGAAATATTCTGCTGACACTAAGGATCCTGAAGTCCTTTAAGCTCACATTATCCACAAACAGGATTTTGACAGACTAGTCAGATGTATGGAAGATGCACTCTTGGTCCATGAAGCAAATCCGTGCATGCACAAACCTCCTGGGGTCAAGCCAGTGGCTGCAGCGAGCGCTTTGCAAGCAGAGTGCCGAGTGCTTTGATGGTGCAGAGCCCTCAGTCTGCTGAAGAAACCTCCAGAGTGCAAGGTTCAGCTGAGAAAGAGAGACAATATCAGTGAAAAGGAGCGGTTGAAGACATACCTAAGATCTTCACCATAAAACCATTTCTGCTCATTTGTTTGCTGAAGGTTAAAACGAAGAAGAGAAACATTTGTGAGCCAGGAGAACCACCAGTTGTTATTTTAATACTTACCCAACTCTGTGTATCTCCACAATCCACAAACAAGAAAACCAGAGTATCTAGGAGCATAAAGCTACTTATTTTATACACTCAGAAACATAATCTAAGGAACAGTTGAAGAGCTTCACTATCAGATTCTTTGGTAAACAAAATTTAAAGTACTGGTATTCAAACAGTTTAGGCCTGTGGGAATGCCAACGGAGTTTGATATTTTAGGTATTTGGCCACGGTTTGGCTGCACAGACTCTTCTGACTCTCCAGCGACACCACATAGTGTCCTGAAATCTTATTCTTGGAGATCAAGAGTCACTCACAGCCCAGTGGGACAAATTGGCTGTCGACAATCAGAAAGGCAAACACGTCTGAAAGACGTGCTAAGATTTCCCTTCCTCTGCGGGGAGAATTTTATGATCGTTCAGGGTACAGTTACTCGCTTTCTTCCATGGCACAACTCAGACTGTTTGCTCAAACCCAGAACTGCTCCAATCTTCTGATAGACTCCAGTGTCCATTCCTGCATTTACAGCTATTGAGAGAGAAGGCGCACACTGTTATGCATTAGCTTCCCAAAATAGCTAACTACCAGTCTGGGTGGTTGACTGGGCTAAACAAATTGCAACCCAAGACTCCTTCCTCAGCCTCCCCCACCCCACCCCCTATTAAAACAAAAAAAATAAAATAAAATAAGTGTTCATATTAGAAACTATCAATTACGAAGAAAATAGTACATGCAGTTGAGAGCCGGCTATTCAGCAGACTTTTTATAAATAAATCCCACTGCTGAGAAAGCACCAGTGCTTATGTAACCACGCACCAGGCCGGCAAGCATGGCTCTGCTTGTGGCCACTGGTTTCAGCAGTCAGTATTTCTATCCCGAAGGCAAAGACAACTTCCAGTCACTCCCCTCGGCACACTCAGTACTTCAGAAAACAGGATCAGCTGCGGCTCCAAGAGATGCACTACTGCTGATCTGCTCTTGGGATGAGCCGGACTCAGGAGTCCAAGTCTCCTCTGCTCTTGGCATCCATCAATCTTCTGTTAAGATCAGAAACAGGCCCCACAGAAGAAGAGCATGAATGTCTGACTGACCAAAGGTCCTAATTCACAACAAATAACGTCTCATACTTAATAATAAGCTGACAGGCTCATCTCTAATAAGCATCTCGGATTTTCCTACTGAATGCAGGCATCAACCTAGAAATTGGAACAAATTAAATGCAAAATTTAATACTACGCTAAAGGGAATTTAATAAAGACAAACATACAACATTTATATGTGTACAACCTCTGTTGACAATCTTCTTCATTTTGGGAAGCTGAAAACTTAATACATTCTCCTTCAACTCAAATGAAACCTAGTGCCCCAAGGTCCTAGCCAGAGGCAAAGTGTCTTTAAACTATAGGTTTTCTGTTCACTTCCTACTTCAGAAAAAAATTCTGAGAAACTTTTGAGTAAAACATTCTTTAAAGCGTTCTGTATTTCCCTACCTGTAGTTTACGCTTTCTATGCTGTGAATATGAATTTTCAGCAGCCCATCAGAAAGGGCAGCTCAGGAGCCAAACCCATGGCATAGACTTACAAACCTGTGGCTCCTCCTGGCTAAGCTCACACCCATATGGAAGGAAGGTCCGTCCTACAAGCAAAAAATTATTGTAAGAAAGCTCTGCCTGGAGAAGGCACCAGTGCCCACAGCAACCACAGGATAAAAACAACCAGTAACTACGAAAAAAAAAAAAGCACACCTAATACAGATCCGGCTTCAGTAAGTATGTATTGCATTCTCTCTATTCTCCCAACATATTTTCCAGGAAAGAAGAGAGCAAATGTGACAGTCTGCTCTTAGAAGAAAAGTAGATTTAAAAACAGAAAAAAGCACCAGAAAAAAAAAACCAACAACCACAAATACACACACATTCATGTCTCCTAAATAAAGATGCACAGTCAGAAAATGTCTTTTCATTTTTCTCATTCACTTTTGGCTTTAAAAAAGAAGATACTGAGAGGAAACAGTGGTTACTTTTCCCCCTGAAGTTCTGTATCCAAGGAAAAAAGCAGCATCTGCGCCCCCCCCAAATGACCCAGCTACCTCCACGAAAGAGAGACACGAACTCGTGATGAAAAAGCATGCTGGAGAGCAGGCACACCAACAAGACCTGTCACAGGTCTCTGCGAATCTGACATTGGCCTCTGGACCAGCCTTCCCTTTGGCAACGCACAATGTTGGAGGAGGCAGCTTCTGGCTGAAGCTCATTCAGGTAAAGAATAACACCTTTGCATAACAACGTATCACTGTCAACTTACTTCTACAGAAATAACTATACACACATGCTGCTTCAGAAGAAGAAATGGCCAGTGCGTTCCTTCAGCAGCATGGGGGAAACATGGAGATCCTCTGGAAACTATTGAATTTACGTCCAACCTGCAGGAGGTCATATGACATTGACAGCACCTTTCATGCGCGTTGCTTTTTGTCTTTGTTTTGCTCTTGCGAAAGCAGGACAAAATATATGTTAAGACCTTTGTCCTGATGTTTTTCTCAGTTTGAAATATTCACCTGGGTCTATCTGACATAAAAAATAAGCATCTTTTATTCTTCTGTTCATATATAAGCATGGGTATTCTCCAACCTGCCACCTAGAAGTTTCTGGCCTTTTCTATAAAGAATAATTTTTTACCTGTACTTTGAACAAGAGTTATTACCTTAAAGAAAGAAGTATGACGTGTCTTTTAGCAGTGTAAGTTATTTTTTCTTGTATCTTTTCTGCTTTTAAAAAAATGAGTCAAGTTTTATTTTTAATCGCACTTTTATTACCTTTTTCCAAAAACAAGCAAAAAACCCCACCTCCAACAAATCAAAAACCTCCAATAAATCACATCCTGTACTGCTATATTTACACTGTAGACTTCTTAATTTCTTATGTAAATATACATATTCTGAAGTAATCTGTCTTTGGAAAAGAATGCTATTTTTAGCATTATAATGACGGATAAATCTTCATTATCAGCGTAATGCTCTAACAGAAAAGAAAATCAATTTTCAGAGTTGTCAGATATCAAGATATGCATACAGATTAAGTCTATTCAAATTATTTTAAACAAAAAGATACCTCAAATGTTACAATAACTTAAGATAGTGTACTATACCACACGCATAACATGGCCAGAACTGATTATTTTTGATGGACATTAGTTATCACAATTGTTTTCCAAAGCAGGAATAAGAAAATTTTTTAAAGTTTCAAACATCCTATTTGGAATATTCACTTCCTCTTGGCCATTAGTTTATCTTCATAGTTGACTGGGATTATGCCACTGCATTCTTCTGTCTTTGATACAGGATGCTTTACAAAAGCACGTCTAATTACGTCAATATCACGTCCTAAATGATCCATCATGGTCGACACAATCGAAGGTGGGCCCTCTAAGTCTATCAAAAAATACCTGCAATGAGAAACATACACACAATAAAAAAAAAATACCTGTACTGCAACAACTTTAATTCAAGTAACTGTTCTGTGGGATTTCTTATATGAGACTTTCCAGTTTTTTCTTACATTTTGGTACCAGAATGTTTTCAAATAGAAGCTCAGTATTATCTTGATTTCAAATAAGAAAAGTTCAATTGAAGCAGGCTCAGCTTGTACTTTTCTTTGTTGTACAGCACTGCTTACCCAAGGAGATTAAAGAAAGCTTACTCTTCTTGTACCTATTCCATTCATTTCCAATGCCTTGATTTGAATAGTCTCAAAAAAAATGTAGGGTGGCACATTCATTTCCGTTCCAGCACGCATCCTTCTTCTTCGAGCTCACAGTATTGATTCTTTGGGAACAGATGCCAATGCGAAACATGTCAAGCTTATGTACATACAGGCACATTTGTTCCTTTAAGGTTCTGCTGCTTTGGAGGTGAATGGAAGTTTAAAAAAAAAAAAAAACCAGCAAAAAACCCACAAAAAAAAAACACAACAGCAAAAGAAACCCAAGGAGATGGACTTATCCCAAATCAGGCACAACTCCGATGTGAACATGGCTTAAATTTTCAGTCTGAGGGCAAGAGCTGAGGCCGCGTACAGACAATGCCCACCTGCGCTGATGACACTTGACGAGCACACTGCCGTGCCGACCTTGGCGGGACTGAAAAGGTCTTACTTCCACACATGCACAGCACATACAAAGTGCAGTGCTCCAGGTAAGCACTTCATGGCCACCACACAGAAAAAGCCGACCGCCGACCTACAGGAAGGGTTGCTCCCCATGAATAGCTAAGGCCACTGAGGTTACTTCTGCAATAAACTCCTTTGCTGAAGGACTGCACGTCCTTCATGAGCTCAGCTGTAATTTTGTGAGAGGCTTTTAAAACTCCAGTACACCTGAACAAGCAAAGAGGCCTACTGCATTTCATGAGCCCCACTTCAGACAAGGGACCCAACTACACACTGCGCATTAACTAACCTCAGAGATGCAAATTCAGATCCCGTCTCTTAATGTGAGATGCACCTTAAATTCATTAGCAACATTATGTCTGCTTATCCTTCAAGTTATGAGCGACCTAGTGCCAGCCATCATCCTAATGCAAAAAACAAGTGAGCCATGTCACTGGCCATCCCTGCTCCCACGAAATGCTATGGAGCAACCAGCATCATCAACACATCTGTAACCAGAACACTTTTTAATCACTTTGTCTGCATTTGGCATGACACTAACTGCAGTACAGTAAAAAGACACCGCAACTGCCTCAGAAATCCTACTGAAGAGAACTAACCACTCACCTCGTTTCCAAGACTATCAGTAACTTAAAGGCTAAATGTACAGCACACCACTTCCCACCTAGCTACTTCATGAATCCTTACACATCTTCCTATTAAAGCTCCCCTGTCCTCCTAGTCCACTCAAGCACACCTCTCCATGAATAATCAGTATAACCTTTAAAGGATCAAGCATCCCAGTTTGATTTAAAAGCTGTACCTAACAGAGAGGACTTTGTTCTGCAAGAGGTGTTGATTCTTATTAAGTCAGCTACAGCCTGAGCATCACGGTCCACCTTCATAAAGGTAATCTTGTAGAGTAAACCTCCAAGACCAAAAGCTGAACTGGGAGTCTGAACAGGAAATACAGGAGATGAGGTCATGAACAACAGACACACTCATGTTCTTCACACTGCATGGAGTTCATTTTCATTCAACTAAATGTGTTACATCAAAAATATGACACACAGAGGAGACCCACTGAGCCAGAAATGACTCAAGCAGCATGTGCTGGATTACTGCACAGGGGTGGAATCCACCCGTGGAAAACATGGCGAAGATGTTTGTCCTTAGCCAGACATCCTAATCCTGAAGCTCTTATGGAGGCACCTACATTAATAGCCACAATTTGTCTCTGAAGTCTTTTTCAGAAAGACCAGATTGAAGCACTGATTTCCTGCATGTGATGGGTCTGATGGCAAAAATATCTCCCTGCAGCCCATACTGAAGCAACGAGTCGTCCAGAACAGACGCCCAGCTGGTGAGGGCTGTGCCGTCACTGAAGAAAAGGGACCAGTGCCAGGTCACGTCAGCGAAGGTGCAGCTCCTCTGACTGCAGCAGGGCTACCGAGAGCTACAGCAGTAACTTGCCTCAAGAAGGATTTGGAGGAACTCTGGGGGGCTCAGTCCTCCTCACAGCCTTCAATGGGAAACAGGATTTGACTTAATTTATTTGCAGAACTGAACTGCCTACCGTTTTCTGGTCTCCAGAATTAACAGATGACACCTGGTTAAAAGTTTAGGGAGAGAAACAATTTTTAAGCTTGGACAATTCGTTAGAAATACTGCACAGCAACATTTGAAGGATGCACACTCCTTAAAAGGGAAAGTCGTATTTTCTGTTAAAGCCATTAAAAGCCACTGGTAAATTTAACAGATGACACTTAACTCTTCTCCTTGGGAAGAAGCCTTCCAAATCCTCTCACAGTTGCAACTAACAGAAAGGAGGATGGGGGGAGAAATTCTACCTGGTGATCCACCACCCCTTTCCTGCCCCCTTTCCTCAGTAAGAGCATTCGTTTGTATCGCTAACCATACTCTTTGCTGCACCATTTTAGTCCCACCATTTCTCAAGAATTTCATTTCATTTCTGCTTGCAAGTCGTATGCTGCTTTATCATTGTGCTCCTAAAACGGCAACGGGGTGGGTTTTTTTTTCCTCCAAAGGCTGCTTTGCAACTTTGTGCTTTCTCTCACATTAGCAAAGGGTGGAAATTTCCACTGACGCACTGTTGATAACTGAAGGAGAAGGGGGGGATGGGAGGATGAGCTGTTACAGCATATCTTTATGACTCCTCGCAGAATAGGTATTTTATCTGACAATACAAAACTGCAGTAATTGGGGAAACAATGTGAGTTTTTAAAAACAACCACCACTCTTCAACGTTAACAAGCAACAATTGCCTTCCTGTGCCAAAAAAAGATAAGAGGGTCAGCGTAAAAAAAAAAATTATTTCTTCATTAAAGAAAGAGAAGAAATTAACGACTGAAAAAGCCATAAACAAACACAATTGACGGTACAATCCCTGAGGAGATCTGGAACCCCGTCCCCCCAAATATACACATGTAAATCAGCTGTCATGAGGCCATGGGGATTTTTTAAGCAACCTTAATTTCAAGCAGTGATCTATGACCCGATACGCAATGCTGTAGCTACTGCTTGTGTAGTAAACAAAACCAAATCCCAGTGAGAGTTAAAGACAGGGAAAAATACAGGAATGCAGGAGGGAAACCACCTCATTGTTGCAAGCAAAAATGCAAAAGCATTTAGGCTCTCCAGGAGCCAGCCGAGTCATCAGGGGAGAAATGCAGGAAAATTCCACTGATTCACTATGAGACCACAGTTATTTTTGTCATCCTGCTCAACTGTAAATAGAAGGGCGATTTAAATACATGAGAGTAGACTGAAATATATTAAAACAATGCATTAACTGAAAAAATTTAAATATCCTATGATCTCAAATGAAGGAGGACATGCCTTTGCACATGAAGGAAAAAAAAAAAAGAGGAAAAAAGCCAGATTTCATTTATCCTTTTTAACATATTCAAGTCAGAAATTGTTTGAACCTTGAGTCCTAAGGATACTCAAATAGTTTGCTTTCAAATGGACAGTCTCAGACTTCAAAGAACACTGACAAGCACCTGGATCAAAACTCACTTTTTAATCCTCCTAGAATATGACTCTGTCAGCCTGGGGAGCCAAGGGAAAAAACACACGTACAGTGGACTTGGAAGAGGCTGTGTGGTCCCACGGTTGTGCCCCAAAAATATCTGTATGCTTAAATTCCCCCTTTACATAGTGGCACTAAGTGTATGTAAGCTTCCCCAATGGGGGAGTGGAAGAGACAAAGGAAAGAAAACATTCTGACGAACAAGTAGAGGTGAAGCATTGAACAGGGAAGCAGGAAACCGCCTGGAGGAAAGCACAATGCGACACTCGCGTTAACAGCAGGTGGACATTCGTTCTCATCAAGGTAATACTATAGAAATGAAATTTTTTTGCTACCTGCATGATCACTTCACCTTTGGGACCACTGTATTGCTCTGAAGAGAGGTAGTTTGCTTTTCTTCTCTACTCTTGCGGTAGCTACCCTTCCTCAGCAGGGCAGGCAAGCAAGTTCGTGCTCTGAAGGATTATCATTTTGTAGCTGGAAGGACACGTGTTACTTCTAGCTTTTAAAAAAAAAATATACATATGGAACAGATGGAAGTCCCTTGAAAAATCACAAGGACAGCAATGGGGAAGTACCAGATCAAAACCAAAAGCTGATACGTTAGTAACTAGACTGTGCCACAGCAATGACACAAACAATCCATAATGAGCAAGTAGTTTGGGGAAAAATACATTTTACCATCCACAGTCTTCAGAAATGTCATTTGCCAAATTCTATACATAGACGCCTGTTATTAAGCTAATTAAATAATGGAAAGACATTTTGCAGTGTTGCAGAAAAAGAAAAAAAAGTACTGTTACACTGCAGAAGAGAAGCCAGCCTGACCTATTCAGAGTATTTGAAAAGTCGTGCTCTCTGGGCAGCATCTGAAAAGTCTGCAAAATTGCTATGAGCAGGGCTGAAGTTGCACAGCAAGTATTAATTCTGCTTCTGTCACTTCTCTGCCTTCTGTATAATTTACAGCTTAAAAAAACCCAAACTGGTGACCGATTCTTATCCCACCAAGTCCACTATTTCAGTGTGGCCATCACATTTAATCAATGTGCTTGCACAAGGATGCTACAGAATTTAGTGCATCGGAAAACTATACTGGCGCCTCAACGTTGCAAACTATTGCACAGTGCCATTTCTTCTGAAAAGCACCAAAATTGCAAATTGCACTGCCACAGGTAAAGTGGAGGAAAAAAAAAACCAACAACATTTCAGGGCTCTGCTACTTGAGGCACATCCACACGTACATGTAT